TTATACAAGTCTGCAGATCAAATATTAAAAGCTGCAATTTGATTGGCTCCCTCTAAATGCAAACCTCTCTAAATACATGTTTTAGGCTGGTCTGTACATGTTGCATTTATAGAGATTTGACTGTACTTTGTAAAAATATCATGCTAACTTTGTACTTAATAACAATTTTGATTTAAAGTTAAAATGGTTTAGCAGATATATTTTCAAAAATATCAAGTAATATTAGAAGGATAAAAAATTTGGTGACTATACTTGGTAAAAATATTATACTAACTTTTTGATTTCAATTTAGTAATCTAGATTAGAAAAGAGAAATGCATTAGCCAATACATGCTTCAAGAACATCATACTGATTTTTTTAAATTTTTGTGATAATAATCTTAGATAAGAAGAAAAAAATTATTAGAAATCAGTATGATATTCTTGAAGAGTATATTGGCTAACGTATTCTTCTTTTCTAATCTAGATTATTAATTTAAAAATTCATGAAAGTTAGCATAATAACCAAATACAACTACCAATACTTTTACCTCTTTGATACTAGATCATTAAAATGAAATTCAGTAAAGTTAGCTTAGTATTTTTAAAAATACATCTACTAAAATATTTTAACTTCAGATTAAAATTATTATCATATACAAAATCAGCATGATTTTTTTAAAGTATATCTGCTAGATTCTAACTTCTAATCAAGATTATCATTATCTTGAGACCTATGTATTGTTCTTGAAAAATATAGGCTTACTTTCTTCTAATCTAAGATTATAAATATTCAAATAAGTCAATATGATGCTTATACAAAGTATACTTATTAAGCTTTTCTTTATCAGATCTATTGAAGATTCAAGATTAACATGATGTTTTTGTAAAATACATCAGACTAATTTTTTTTTTTCTTCTCATATAAGATTATTATATAAAAAAATTAGCTTAGTATTTTTTAAAACATATCTATTAAAATGTTTTTAACTTTAGATCAAAAATTGTTATCCAAGTATGAAATTAGTGTAATATTCTTACAAAGTACATCTGCTAAATCTCGCTTTTTAACCAATATAATTATTACCTTAAAACTTGCATATTGTTTTTGCAAAATGCAAATACTAGTGCTTTCTCTTATTTTAATCCAAAGTTATTATAATGGGTTATTATTATAAAGATTTGAATAAGTTAGCATAGTGTTTATGCAAAGTACATCTACTAAACTTTTTATTTAGCTTAAATAAGAGATAAACAAGATAAACATTACTATAGTACAGTTGGCCTATATATAAAATATTTTTTTTGAGTTTTATTTGGCTAATCTTAAAATGCTAGTAAATGTAATTTAATAGTCACATCTTACAAATTTTATATTTAGTATCATACTTGTTGCTACATATATATGTATATACCTCTCAAGATTTAAAAATTAAAAAATATCTACAAATTTGATTACAGAATAAGCTAAAAACAAATATATGTTAAATATCTTGTTTGAATTCTTCGGATCTAATTAATTAAATCTTATTTAGTAAATGCTATGTGCTTACAAAGTAAAGTCTAATAAAAAAATTTTTAATACTTAACAACTTTACAATTAAAAACTAATGGTTTCATTTTGTTATCTGTACTACTTTAATACAAGATTAGATAAAAATTTTATCAACCTTACTTATAACTCAAAAATTTCTATTCGGGTCTTGCTTATATATAATCTGCATCATATTATAATATAGAAATTCTCTGATTCATTAGTAGATCATCAATTAATAAGTGGCAAATGGTAATTTTCTTAATAAATCATATTTTTTTTTATACGTACAAGATGGAATAATTCAAAAGTTCGAGTTAGATATATAAATAATAAAAAATCACGTACGCATGTCACTTTTGCCAAGAAAAATTTTAAACATTCTCAATCATATTTGAATTAATATATATCGATAACAATAAAATAAATAAATTTATGAGATACACATGCAAAAGTAAATGTGATTATAGATATAAAATCAAGCCAGCTTTATTAATATGATATAAAATAAAAATAACAATTGTGGTGGAGGGGTAAATACATTTAAACTTCGCTTTCTAAGTCGTTGGGATCTAACATTGGCAGAATGGCATAATAACGACATGTTTATAATTATAATATTTCTTAAATTTAAAAGGGCCTCTATAAATCGGAATACACCTTTACCATCAGTTGGTCTTACGGGAATTTTAACCGAATATAAATTATAAAAACAGTGGATATCATCCATGTCTTAATAATAATCTTAAGATGTAACATATTCCCAGCTATTTGCACTCCAATAATCCCAAATTGATTTTCACTATATGACCTGCACTATGTTTGTAATTAGATATGCATTAGACACCCCAATCAGTTATGAAGTGATAAGAATACGCTAAATTCAATAAGAGGTCCTTTTTACCGCTATTGCAGTCGTGAAGTCCAAAACCCTCTGATGAAGATCTTTGTACTGTCACATACATATTGCCGCGAAGCCTAATTACCACCAAACAAGATCCTTGCACTGCTACTGCAGCCGTGGAGCCTGATGTTGCTTACCATTACTATTCAACCTATTAAACCAAGTACCAAGCACTGCCTAATTACGAGCCACAGTAAGATGGGCAGGGATAAGAGAGATGATAGAGTAAGCCCTCTTACGAAGGAAGCAATAACGAAGAGAAAGATAACCTCTAAATATACTGCATTAACAAAACACATTCCCCTTCTACTTTATACTTGGAACCCATTTGATTAACCCTTCTTACTTTCATTACCATTCAACGGGAAAGAACAAAAACAGTATGAGACTAAAATGACAAATTACATGTATGATTCCGTGAAGCCATCTAATCTCACAATGATGGTCTTTGTTGGCGCGCATTGGTACTTGATTAAAAGTAGGACAGATACGCGGGAGTTTCATTTATTTTCTTTAGAAATCATTATGACGCCCCTAGCTCCCACAAAAAATTGTTCACCTCCATGATTTTTGACCAATCAAATTTTAAGACCGGGTGTAATGTAAACAATCGAAGCGAACCTACTTTTTTTACAAAAGAACAGAAATTTTAATTAAGAAACCACCTTCTGCGGTCTAATTAAAAATGCATTTCGTGAGATTTTACTCCTAGGTATGAAGTTATTTTAACCCTAATGCAAACTACAACGCAGTTATATTCTTGGTAAAAAATTACAGGGTGAACAATTTTTTGTAGGAACGCTAAATGATTTACGGTAATATATAGCAGTGTAATCTAAATTTATTCATTTAAAAAACCGGTAGCGGGCTATTCTAATTAAAGAAAAGAACTAAGTTTAGACATATAAACCCGACGAAGTTGCAAGTGAAAAATCAAATCTGCACTCACGCCCTTACACAATGCAATATAACATCCAATCATTGTAAGATTTTGTGGAGTAACATCATTAAATTGCCATATAACTATTTACTTCGTGATATTTTCATATCACTCCGTTCCTGGTATGAATTTATTTTTTATACATTAAATAAAAATTTAAATTAAAAATAACAATATATATTTAGGATTCGGTAATCAATTTTGAGGAATTCGAGAAACCTAATCCAGAATTATTGTCAGTAGGATTGTAGCAGTCCCGAAGTAGTGTAGACTATCTTGGAAACGCATTATACTATGCTTGCAATTAACAGCG